ACAGTCTAAGTTTTCTGACTGCAGTCCAATGCTCTTCCTACCACACTAGCATTACACTGCCTCTAGGTTCTCTTGAATCTTTCCACTACCCCACACTCCTTGATGACTGGAGCCCTGGATTTGGAGCCTGAAGGCTTGGATTCAAATCCTAGCACTGCCATTTACCATCCATGTCATGTTAGGGCAAGGCCTCTCTGGGCCTGTTTCCTCATCTGTAAAATAAGGGAATTGGACTAGATAACCTCTTGTGTCCCTTTCAGCTCTAAAGTTATGACCCATCCTTCTTGCCTCTGACCACAGCTCTTCCAGCAGGATGAGAGTTCTGTTGGCTGTGTCCAGAAACACTGTAACTGTTTTCTGTTCTATATTTTGTCTCGGTTTCTGCTTCTGCATTTCTCCCCCCAAAAAACCCCAGTAGAGCTTCTGTTTCCTCTTGATGCTACCCCTGCCCTCGAGAAGCCAAGAGCTACTGAGCACAAATAGTTGTAGATCCCCTAAGGAAGATCCCCTCCCCCCAAAAAGAGTCAGGAAGCACTTCTCCACCCCACCTCTACTGCCCTCCCCACCCCGACACCTCAGGGAGTGCGTTCTACCTACAGAGGGTCGTCCTGATGGATGACTCCAATTCCAACAGGTTTGTGAGAGGAGACACAGACGCGGTTAACGGGCACCTGGCGATGGGGGCTCGCCAAGGGCGGGATGATGATGCAGTACGGAGGGAATAACCCCAGTGCCCTAAGTACTGAAGAGAATTGGGGTGGGTCGGGGATTATAAGAGTTGTCACGAGAACCTGGATTTAAAGCTGGGAGGGACCTTGGAGGTCATCTACTCCCACCCCTGCAAAAGAGGTGGTGTACCCATTAGAATTGGATTCACTGGCAAATATGCCAGCTCTGCCGCTTCCTACCTGTGTGACCTTAGGGAGGTCGTTTAACCCCTCTAGCTTAAACCCGGAGGGTCTCTCCCTTCCAGATTGATTCTTTTGGGTCGGTAAACTAGGCCCTCTTTTGACTCAATTCTTACCTAGCCTTGAATCACCGAATGGGTGTTGTCTCAGACCAACTGAGACCCGGGAAAGATCTTAGCTTGATGAGGCCGAGGTCTCCCATTAGATCCAGAGCCATCCCCAGTTGTCTTGACCTACATCTTGCCGCTGGACTCCAACGACGCTGGAGGAGAGAGTGAGGCTGATGACTTTGCACAGCTCTGCCTCACTTAAATCCAATTTACTAGCAAGTCAAGACATTATCCTGCTGATGTCATTGGCCCTCTTCAAGAATGAAAGACAAACAACAGCAACCTTGTATAAACTAAAGGGTTGGACCCCATGACCTCTAAGGTCTCTTCCAGCTCCTCATCTATAACCTCAGCTGGGATATGCATCCTGTCCCCTGAATAGACATTTTTTAGAATTGGAAGGCTCTAGGGGCAGCTAGGTGGCTCAGTGGATGGAGCAGGTCTGAAGTCAGGAGGACCCGAGTTCAAATCCAGCCTCAGACCAAACACTTGACACTAGTTGTGTGACCCTAGGCAAGTCACTTAACCCAAATTGCCTAAAAAAAAAAAAAAAAAAGAATTGGAGGGCTCTTAGAGTTGGTACAGCGGTACAGTGGTACAGTGGAAAGATCGATGGATTTGGACTCAGAGGACCTGGGGGAAAATCCTGGCTCTGCCCCTTACTGTGTCTGTGGTGTTGGCAATCCACTTCAGCTCTCTAGGACCTCATCTGTAAAATGAATGGATTGGAATTCCGATTGTGGACGTTAAGTTGTTTTCAGCTGCATTCAACTCTTTGTGACCCCTTTTTGGGGTTTTCTTGGCAAAGATACTGCAGTGGTCTGCCACTTCCTTCATAGATGACCTTTAAAGACCCTTTCCAGCTTGATATTTATGAAGATATGCTCCTATGAAGGAACAACTAGGTGGCTCAGTGGATAGAGTGCTGGGCTAGAGTCAGGAAGACACAGGTTCAAATCCAGCCTCAAACAATTACAAGTTGTATGACCCTGGTCAAATCACTTCACTTTCGTTCGCCTTGGCTTCCTCAATTATAAAATGGGGATATTAGAACCTACCTCACAGGGTTGTTGTGAAGATCAAACAAGGCGTTTGTAAAGTGCTGAGAGCACAGCGCTTGGCTCTTAATAAATGCTTGTTTATTAATAAATAAATATTTTTAGTAAATAGATAAATTTCCTCCCCAAATCTGTGCCTCAAACAGCAATCCCCTCTAGATATCTCTGACAAACTGTTTACTCAGTTCTCATGCCTGAAGACCTCTAGTTATGGGAAACCCACTGAGGAAGACCATTCTTCTTCTATGCAGCATTCATTTGAGGAAGTTTTCCCCTTTATCTAACCTAAATCTTCTGTCAGCATCTTCCTCCTATGGTTCCTAGTTCTGCCTTCTGGAGCCAAGATGGATGAGCCTAAGGCCCCTTCCATGAGACGGCCCTTGGGACTCTTGAAAACAGCCATCACGTTCCCTGAGTCTTTTGTTCTGCAGATCAAAGATACCGAATTCCTTCTGTCAGTCCTCAGATGGCTTCATCTCCAGTCCTCTCGCCATCCTGGGGACCCTCCTCTACACACTTTCCAGTTTGTCAATGTCCTTCCTAAAACGTGATAGCCCAAACCAAAAGGAATGCTCCTGATACAGCCCCTCTATATTCTGGATACCTCATTGCTCTTTATGCATCCCAACATAGCTTTAGCTTTCTCAGTGGCCATGTTACATCATTGACCCAAATTAAGTTTGTATGTCATTAAAATGTCCAGTTCTTTTTACACACACACACACACAAGTTGTCTAACTACAACTCCCTTGTCATGTCATTGTGAAAATGATTTTTTTGAAACCAAGTACAAAACTTGTATCTTTGTCAAAATTCATCTGATTAATCTTGACTTGTGAAGATCTTTTTCAGTCCTCACTCATTCCACACTTATACTGCCTAATATTATAGCTATTTGGGTACATGCTCTAGTATCTTTCTCACTAGATTATAGGCTCCTTGTGGACAGGGATGATGTATTATTCATTTCTATATGCTTCATAGCACCTAACATAAAGTGGGTACCCAGCAAATTTTTTTTTTAATAAATCAAAGAATGAATGTCATTCATACAGCATATACAAGTAGAATGTTAAGGATGCTTTGTCCTGAGGTAAACTCTCCTAAGCTTCCAGGATGGGTGATGGGCACTGCAGCTGCTGAGAGAGGACAGAGTTGCCAAGCTGGGGAATGTAGGTCCATATGCCCTGTTGCCATGTCCTCCATACTGCCGGCCCTCACCATCTGTCTTGCCACTGAACCCTCTGGATTTCAGGCCCTTGCCATCTGCCCTGCTGAAGTACTCTCAAGAACCTCCAGTCTCACCACCCACCTTGCTGCTGAACTAACAGGCCTTTCCATCTACCCTGTAGCAGAGCCCTCCTATATGCATTGCCTCCTCCCATTAGAATGTGAGCTCCTTTAGAGAACAGACTGTCTTATTTTTCTGTCTGTATCAGAGTATGTGGCACATAGTAGGTACTTAATAAATGTCTTTTCATTTATTCATTCATTCACACCATCAGGAGCCAGAGGTTCAAGCTAGAACCCCAATACCACCCCAAACATATGAACTATGCAATGCCATATTTCCAGGAGTTGCCACGTAGTACCCCATCTTATCTGTCTGCAGGGCCAATCCCTGTCCACTGTCTCGACCCACCCCACCCACTCAAAGCTGAAGTTCAAGAATGAGAAGATGAACACATGGGAAGAGGTTACAATTAGGCATGATGCCAGCTGAGTATGTGGGAATGTGGGGAGAGGAGGAGGGAGACATTTTGGGAGCCAGGCAGTGATCTGGAGGACAGAAGAAGACAAGATTGGAGAGCCAAGGAAACAGGAAGAAGGAGGCGAGGGGGAGTAAGAGGTGAGGTTACAGTTCAGTCAGGGAGAGCTGTACAACCCCATACCAACTTTTCACAGACCAGACTCCTACTTAAGTAGTTTCCAGATGCATGAGCATATATATAGTACACAAACACATATCCATGTTTAATATACATTCATACACATAACCCCCATATTATATGCATGTGTATCGTATATTACTGTTCTCCTTAAGTCGTTTTGGTCGCATCCAACTCTCTGTGATCCCGTTTTGGGGTTTTCTTGGCAAAGATACTAGAGTGGTTTGCCATTTCCTTTTCCAGTTCATTTTACAGATGAAGAAACTGAGGCAAACAGGGTGAAGTGACTTGTCCAGGGTCATACAGCTAGTAAGTGTCTGAGGCTGGATTTGAACTCAAGTCCTCCTGCCTCCAGGCTGGCACTCTGTCCACTGTGCCACCTGGCCGCCCCTTTGCATCTCATATATACACTTACATTTCAGAACACACTCACACATACACAGAGTCTCTTTCTTACATAACTACTATTATTCCCTAAGTCTGTTTTCCTGAACCTCCAGGTCCCTACACTGCACCAGGACAGGATGAAACATGTTTGCTGAGAACCGTAAGACAGAGTGAGGCACCACGCAGGGGGGAAAATGGGCGTAAAGTCAGCAGTTAGTAGGAACATTTTTGGAATTTGGAATTTGGATGGATTTGATATCTAATTGTAGCCTAAGGTTCCTAAGAGATGAGAGGACCACAGTGAAGGGGCCAAGGACTGAGACAGCATGATCCAGTGGAAGAAGCCTTGGTTCTGTAGTCAGAGGACCTGGGTTCAAGTCCTGCCTCTGACACTAATCTGTGGGACCTTAGGCAAAGTCGCTTCCTTTCTCTGGGCTTCAGTTTCTTCCCCCATCTGGGGTTAGACTAGATGACCTCTGAGGTCCTTTCTAGATCTAAATCTGATAGGTTGCTCCTATTAATTCTGAAGGTACTAAAAAGGTGTCCCATCCCCCATAGCAGTGGCCCTCCTGCTGTCATCGCCAGGCTCCAGCCCAGCCTCTATCTGCTAGCACAGCCTCTTCATACGGCAGTCTCCCCAAGCCATACCTGCTGTCTTCCATCACAGTCAGCAGGTTAAACACCTTCACCAAGCTGTCTCCTTCTCTCTCCATCCTGCAGGGCGCCAGGCGCCTCTCCCCTACGCTCTGCCGCACAGAAATGAAGGTGAGGCTTCCAGCCTCCAAACCTAACAGCAGCCCTACTGTCCTGCCGGCTGGCTAAGGCGTTCAGGAAGTGAGCCCGTCCTTGCCGGGCAACAAGCAGTCCTGCTCCTGCCTTCAGACGTGAGGAAAGAGGAAGGATCCCTGACCCCCTCCCCGCAGTGATGGTCAGAGTAGGAGGAGCCTGGTCAGGACGGAAGGAGATCTCACCCTGTGGGTCCCACTGGCCCTAGGATCTGCACATGCTGCTTTAGATTAAGCCTGTCCCCATTTCCCAGTCAGGCTCTGAGAGGTCTTACAGATCGCTGGCCCAGCCCCCGTACTTAACGGAATTTGAAGGGGAAGGGAAAGTCCAATTCATGTGTGAGATACCTGACAAATGATCAAACAGCTTCTGCTTGAAAACCTCCGGCGGGCAGGAGCTCCACCACCTCTGGAAGCACCCCATTCCATTTTTGGATGGGTCTAATTGTTAGGAAGGCAGCTAGGTGACACCGTAGTGCATAGAGCGCGGGGCCCAGAGTCAGAAAGACTCCTCTGACTGAGTTCAAATCCAACCTCAGACACTTACTAGCTGTGTGACCCTGGGCAAGTCACTTAACCCCGTCTGCCTCAGTTTCCTCATCTGTCAAATGAGCTAGAGACGGAAATGGCAAATTGCTCCAGTATCTTTGACCAGAAAACCCCAAATGGGATTGCGAGGAGCTGGACATGACTGAAACCACTAAACAAACAACCGCAAAAAATTATTAGGAAGTTTCTCCTTGACAGTAAGTCTAAATTGACTGTTCTGCAACTTCTGTCTTCTGGGGCCAGATTGAACAGGGCTAACCTCTCCTCCCCACGACAGTCCTTCAACATATTTGAAAACAGCTATCATTTCCCCTTGAGACTTGTGTTCTCCAGGCTAGCCATCTCCCATTCTTTCAATTGATCCTTACATGGCATGGGCTTAAGGCCCTTCGCCATTCTGATTGCCTTCCTCTGTAGATTCTCCAATTTATTGATTGGTCATTTCGTTTCAGTCATGTGTGACTCTTTGTGACCCCATTTGGAGTTTTCTTGGCAAAGATACTGGAGCGCTTTGCCATTTCCTTCTCCAGCTCATTTTACAGATGAGGAAACTGAGTCAAACAGGGTTAAGAGACTTGCCCAGGGTCACACAGCTTGTAAGTATCTGAGGCTGGATTGGAATGCAAGTCCTCCTGCCTCCAAGGCCAGCGCTCTATCTCTCGCACCATCTAGCTGCCCCCTGGTCGGAATGACCTATTAGCTATTCCCTGTACATAACATGTCATCTCTCATGTCCATCCCTTTGCGCAGGCTGTACCTCATGACTGGAATGCTCTCCCTTACCACCTCTGCCCTTAGAATCCTTTTCTTCCTTCAAGGCTCAGCCCACTGCTTCTGACACTTTCCTACAGTATATTTAAAATATTGTCAGAAGAATCACAAGGCATAGTGTAGATACACAAAGAAAATTACTTATGAGAGGAATATTTTCTGTGACATAAATGATGATGACTGTTTTACTGAATAGTCTCCATTGATCAATAAAAGCTCAAGCTAACTGTCTTCATTATAGCAAACCATTTATTAGGCTAGTGATAGGACATTTGTTCCCACCTAGGCACGTGTGTTCCCACCCTAGGGCATGTATGTTCCCACCCTGGGGTATGTGTGTTTCCACCCTAGGGTATACCTGTTACCAACCTGTGGTATGCATACTCTCAAGAGGTACTAGAAGCTTGTTAAGGGGGCACGGGGAATTTTTAGCAAATAATTATAATATCCTATTGCAAAATTCCAAAAGTAGCGTGCCTATACCTCAGGTTCAGAAACTCTGGTTTCTAATAACTTCTCTCTGTGAATCAGAATTCCCAGTCTTGTTCTTGATCAAATCCAAAGCAAGAAATAGTCTGACAACTGAGCATGATAGGTGAGAATCTCTTTGAAAAATTCTACCAAGAATAAAACTGATAGTTGACAAGAAACAGAATCTCACTAATCTGACTGTGTTCTGATAAACATTTAACAACTTTGTAATATTTTAAATGCTCTTATGAACTAAATAAAGTTTTCTTTCTGCACAATTAATTGATCTCTTTTTTATTTGTTATTTATTTCTATCTGCATATGCATAGTACACTCTAGAATTTGTTTCCTTTCACCTGGAGTAAGGGACACAGAAAAAGTGGGCTAAAAGCCAAGGGGTAGAACCCTGAGGATTGGGTCACCTTGGGAAAGGACAAGAGTTGGGTCTCAGATTCTACTGGCATAGGGAATATATATCTTTGTCACCCTTGTCCAGCCTTTGCCAGGCTTTCCCCCATAGTTTTTGTTCTCTTGAAATTAGTATTGGAAGGATCTAAGCTAATGAAGTGAGAGAGATGCATTGCCTGGGATGGTATATCTGGACCATTCACCTCAAAGTCATCTTCCAATAGTTCCTTCCTTTTCATCAGCTGTTCCTTCTTTTTATTCAGATCCTGTTGCTTTACCCCCAGTTGTAATCGAATTATTTCCTGCCATTCTCTTCATGATTCATCATAACCAAAGCCATTTCAAACCTTTTGTCTTTCTTGCTCTCAGCTTTTTCTTCTGGAGACCTTGTGGATTCCTCCCTCCTCACACCCCACCTTTGTACCTATTTCTACAACTTCTTCAGCAAAGTATGGATGGTCGAATTTATTGTTAGAAAGTGGCTCATTGGCTTCCACTTCTGGGAGCCAAGATGGCGGATTAAGAAGTAAGTTGCTCTTACCCTCCCTTATTAACCTCTGAAAGCCCAGAAAATGTCACCCCAGGAAAAACCCTAGAACAGATGAACCAGAAGAAAGATGGAGTGCAGCAGTCCGGTAGCCCAAGTAGCTTGAGGGATTAATGGGAAAGGCCTCTCTTGCCCTGGGAGAAGGGGAGCAGTACAGAACAGGAGGTGTCCCAGCAAGCTAGCCGAAAGCCCCACCTCAGCATACCAGGAGGAGATCCTGAAACCCAGGTGGTGGAGCAGACAAACACCAACACCTGAACCCCTGAGTACGTCAGTGAGGATGGAGGAAGCAGTGGAAGCCAGCTTGGAAAACCACCAGGTGCCTCAGCATTCTACAATAAATGGGTTTCCCAGTGCCTCAGCAAAACTAAGGGAAGCAGCACTCTAAGGGGCCCTAGGCAGATAAACATCCTGCAACATTTATCTGAAAGGAGCGGAAGAAAGTGAAAGGAAGGAAAGGCCAGGGTGAGCAGGAAATCTCCAGAAGTCATACTAACCAATCCTACCCCCTGAGTTCCAGTGTTGCTGATTCCAGCTCAACACCACATAAGCTGCCAGAACCCTACAGCCTCCAACTGCCAGCACTGGAGGCCCCAGCACACAAAGCCAGTGACCAGGCTCTAGGATCCCAACACAAGAAGCTTGGGTCTGTGCCCTCTGCTCCCCAGCAGGAGAGCTCAATCTCTTTGAAGGCCAGGAAATAAGCAAACACCATGAGCAAAAAGAAACGTACAATAGATTCTTACTATGGGAAGAGTGAAGATCAAGGCACAAATTCTGAAGAGGACAACATTGTCAATAAACCCACATCTGGAACTTCAAAAGGGAATATGAACTGGTCTGAAGCCCAAAAAGTCTCTTAGAAGAGCTCAAGAAGGATTTTAAAAGTCAAATGAGAGAGGTAGAAGAAAAAGTGGGAAAAGAAATGAGAGGTATGCAAGAGACAGTCAATAGCTTGGAAAAGGAAGGGCAAAAATTCACTGTAGAAAACAAGTCCTTAAAAAATACAATTGGCCAATTGGAAAAAAAGTACGGTGAAAAAAACAAATCCCTAAAAAATACAATTGACCAAATGGGGAAGGAGGTATAAAATCTAATAGAAGAAAACAATTTGTTAAAAATTAGAATTGGGCAAATGGAAGCTAATGACTCTATGAGAGAGCAAGAATCAGTCAAACAAAAAAACAAAAGAATGAAAAAAATAGATAAAAACGTAAAATACCTCGTTGGTAAAACAACTGACCTGGAAAATCGATCCAGGAGAGACAATTTAAAAATTATTGGTCTACCTGAAAATCATGATGAAAAAAAGAGCCTGGGCAGTCTCTTCCAGGAAATCATAAAGGAAAACTACCCTGAAGTCCTAGAACCAGAGGGTAAAATAGCCATAGAAAGAGTCCACTGATCACCTTCTGAAAGAGATCCCAAATTGAAAACGCCAAGGTATATAGTAACCAAATTCCAAAATTACCAGGTCAAAGAGAAAATACTGTAAGTATCCAGAAGGAAACAATTTAAATATCATTGAACCACAGTCAGGATTACACAGGACCTTGCAGCTTCTACATTAAAAGACCATAGGGTGTAAAATATGATATTCTGTAAGGCAAAGGAGCTTGGATTACAACCAAGGATCAACTACCCAGTGAAAATGAGCATGATCATTCAGGGGAGGAGATGAATATTCAATGAAATATGGGACTTCCCGATAAAAAGACCAGAGCTCAACGGAAAATTTGATCTTCAAATACAAGACTCAAGAGAGACATAAAAAGGTAAATGGGACAGAAAGAAACAACATGTTATTGATAAGGGCAAACTTTTTACATCCCTACAAAGGAAATGACACTTGTAACCCTTGAGAACTGTATTGTTATTACACCATGTTAAAGGGGTATACATAAAGGGGGTGAGTATAAGTTGACTTTGATGTAATAATAAAAAAAAAAACTAATCAAGTGGGTCAAATGGATCCAAGTAAGTGGATTAATCTGATCTAAGAAAATGTACTGAGAGAAAAGGAAAGGGGGAGGCAGACAAGGGTAAATTACATTACAGGAAAAGGCACAGAAACTTATTAAAGCAGAGGGAAAGAAGGGAGAGAGATGAGCGTTGTTTGAACCTTACCCTCATCAGATTTGCCTCAAAAAGGGAATAACATAATCAGGTAGGTACTAATATTGATAGACTTAACCCTTCTCAGCAATGCAAGGATCTAAGACATCTCCAAAGGCCTCATGAAGGAAAATGCTATCCACATCCAAAGAAAGAACCATGGAGTTTGAATGCAGATCGAAGCACACTATTTGCTATTTTTTTCTCTTCTGTTGTGTTTTGTTT